GGAAAGATGACCAATTTTCATGGACTCTTTCTGTTATTTAATAATAGTAATAAAATCCCCAATATCAATTTTGGTAGTACAAAATCGTAGATATATAGGGTTGCAAGTGTACAAATTTACAGATGGTTTTGTTTGACCATATTTTTGTAAATACAATTCGGTTTTAAAATTTGGAAAGATTACCAATTTTTATGAACTCTTTCAATTATTTTATTATAGTAATAAAATCCAACATATAAATTTATTTTACTCCGTATAATATATTTGGTACTATAAAACCGTAAAAATTATTAGATTTAGAAAGATTACTATTTCTTATGAACTCTTTAAATTATTTTATTATAGTAATAAAATCCAACATATAAATTTATTTTACTCCGTAAAATATATTTGTTACTATAAAACCGTAAAAATTATTAGATTTGGAAAGATTACTATTTTTTATGAACTCTTTCAATTATTTTATTATAGTAATAAAATCCAAAATATCAATTTTTTTTACTTCGTATAATATATTTGGTACTATAAAACCGTATAAGTTATTAGATTTGGAAAGATTACCAATTCTGTTTTAAATTTGGAATGATTATCAATTTTTATGAACTCTTTCAATTACAATTTTATTTTTCGATACATTCAATTTTATCTTAACTTACATATATTCACATTCCTAACAAACATTAAATTTGCTTATATATTTTAAATTAATTATATTAATAAATAATATTAATATGCATTAAATATTTATCATTATATAAAAAAGAATATTACTTCTATAAGTGTTATAAATAATAATGACATTATACGATAATAAATTTTTGAATAAAATAATATTTTAGTATTATGATGAACCAAAATATTTAAAATTATTATGTTTTCTGTATTAAAAAATAAATATATTATATATATGATAAAATATTACTTATATTAATATTAACGGGTCAACGGGCTAATTATTGTTAAAATAAAGTTTTAAAAAATTGTTCTAAAGTACAAAACCCCTGTGCATTGCACGGGATTCTCACTAGTATAAGGTAAAAAAATTATATATGTTCCTTAATTTCCATAATTGAATGCTCTCTCTCGCATTCTTAATTAATTTATCATACTTAAAAATTCATCCCTAAACAATGCTCTCGCTCCCATCTCCTCTCTCTCTATCTCTCTTCTATATGAGAGGACATTGGGTGATGGCGGTAGAAGCAGACGACTCAACTCAAGGGCATCGTCGGAGAGGTTGGTGGAGGGGCCTGGGTCGAGGTATCCAATCCGGTGGTAGTAGGACTTGAGATGGTCCAGGACGGCGGTTTTCTCGCCCTTCTTGCTGCCGGCAAGTTTGAAGGAGGCCGGAGATGGGAAGAAGGGATGGATGTGATGTTTCAGTAAAAATTGACGGGGACAGGACGAATAAATATTGTGTAAGTAAAAACGCAACATATACTGAAAAATATAATGACTATAAGAACAACATATATTGAAATTAATCTAATGTCCATCTTGCAAACAAAAAAATAAAATAAAATAAATTGACGCTCGTCATCAAGCTTTGACATTTTTTTCTTACAATTGCCGACCTGGTCGGTTTCGTCATTCATTTTTCACCTTTTCTTTTTTCAGTCTGATACATGTGGTTGGAATAATGTTATGTAAATAAAAACACATGTATTGAAATTATACTGACTATAAAGGCAACATATACTGAAATTATTTTAATGTCTGTCTTGCATAAGATTTTTACCCTCGTTGTTAAGCCTTGACATTTTTTTCTTATAACTGCCGACCTGGTCGGTTTTGTTATTTATTTTTACTTCTTTTTTTTTTGTAACATCTTGATAATGTTTTTATATATCAATCTTGTATAGATTGTTGGTACAAAGTTAATTACAAAATTTAAAAATAAAAATAAAATCTAAACATCATAAATGTGGTTAGATAAATGGTATGTAAATAAAACGTAACATATACTGAAAAATATACTGACTATAACACAACATATAACAACTCGTCGTTAAATCTTGAACTCTTTTCTTATAATTGACGATCTGGTTGGTTTTGTCATTNCCGTGGTCGCCTGGTGCTTAGTCTTTTTCATCGCTAAAAAGGGGATAATCGATCGAGTCGAGAATAAGAAAAAAAAAAGGAAGAACGAGCGATGGATGAGAAGAAGAAGAAAAAAAAGAACGAAATAGGGAGGAGAAGGAGAGAGTTGAAGCAATCCCATTAAATCCACGCTTATATAATTTAATTACAAAAAAACTGTTGATCCTAATATTTATGCAAATAAAAAATTCATTTCGCTATTTTTGCTAATAAGTATATACTAGTACAATACCCGTGTACTACACGGGTGGTTGGTAAAATAATTAAATGCAAAATAAAGAATAAATATATATTTTGTTGAAGTTGAAAAAAATAAATAAAGAAAAATATATAACAATTTATAATAAATAACTAAATGAATTAATAATATTATTTTAAAATTTGAAAACTAATTTATGTGCATCATTAATTTTATTTAAAACACATAAGGGAATAATATGAACAAAGCACAAAATTTGGAAAGTAAAATTATATTCACATATAGAAAGAAGATAAAATAGATTTACATAGAATGATTTAAATATATTAAGTATGTGTATATATATGGTAATCCGAACCTAAATTATTTAGTATAAAAAATTAGAAACTTTTATCCAATCCATATTACAAAGCATAATATTTTGCCCCGTAAAATTTTGAAGCGTGCGAAGTTGCCACTTAAGTTCAGTGCGTTTGGAAATTATATATAAGAGAGATGTATTGTATATCTTAATAAAAATATTTTTGGTTGGTTGACTAGATAATTTTCTATATTAATGAGAATATTGTGGGTGCTTGAAATTTTTGGACCTGAGACAACTGCCTAATTGGATGTTTGTCGGTTCGGCCGTAAAAAGATCTCCCAACGTTTCCCACGTTTTCTTGGGCCGAATGTAGCACTCTAGTGGTTTCGTGCATGGCAAAGCTCTTCTATGGAATTAGTGAGAGACTTCATCTTTTTCATGTTGAAAGGAAAAAGAAACATACACCCCTTTCCTTCTTTTGGTTCAAATTGATTCCATTGTGCAATCAGATTGTCCGAATTCATGAAATTGAAGCAAAGGGTTGGGATGCTTAACGTGGGATATGAATATTGGAATCTCTGGCTTTTCTATTTCAACAAAAAAGGCACTATAAATTATTACTTAAAGTTATCAGAAAGTCTATGGAGCCTATCGGATGGTTCCCTTATGAAACCATTCATACTTTTATGTATTGACACGTGTCCAATGTGTATTTATTGCATGACACGTGTCAATACACCATTTGTGGAAAACTATGGATGACTCCATAAACCGAGCCATCCGATGGCTTCATAGAAAAACCGGTTAAAGTTATACCTCCAAACTCAAAGAACAGCACCCAAACTCCAAAGAACTCGGAATTAAGCCGTTTTGAACAACACTCGAGCTTCAAAGAGCTCAGACTTAAGTCGTCAAACCCAATGAATAGTACCCGACTTCTAAAGTGTTCGGACTTAAGTCGTCACACCCAATGAACAACAGCCAAGCTCCAAAGAACTCTACCTTAAGCCATCGTATCATTTAGTCCAACAGTATTTCATATAAGTAGATAATATGAATCTTAATATCTTCATTTTTGGCCACATGGTTTAAAAAGGCATTTTAATTTTGATATTCGCTGTATCAGTCACCCGCTAGTAATTAAGATCACATTATGTTTAAGTTAAACATTCTGATATATATGTCATGACAATACTTTAATGGGTGTTACTAAATACCGCCCCCTCAAAAGACAGTTTTACCCTTTTCAACTATAAAATATATTTTTTTTTTTAGGCTGGCCTACCGCGAATCACGGCCGTAAGTGTGCCGGCCTCCTTTCCCAACAGGCCGAACCGTGCACGACCTCCATTCCCAGCAGGCCGAACCGTGCACGGCCTCCATTCCCAGCAGGCCGCACTGTGCACGGCCTCCATTCTTGGTAGGCCGCACCGTGCACGGCCTCCATTCCCGGTAGGCCGTACCGTGCACGGCCTCTTTCCCCGGTAGGCCGCACCGTGCACGGCCGGTTTTTCCGGCAGGCCAGCCGATTTTTT